TTTGAAGTGACTGCCCAACAGGAAGGTCCCTGGCTAGTGTAGACAGTTTGTGCTTGACTGTTAACCTAAAGGTTGGCAGTTCAACCCAGCCAGCAGGGCCAGGGAAAATAGGTCTGGCGATTGGCTTCCACAAAGATTACAGCCATCAAAACCGAATGGAGCTCAGTTCTACTCTGTAACACACGAGGTTGCCATGAATCAAAATGGCATCAAGGTTTTTAACAGGCCCAACAGGAAAATCTAGGAGGCATTGGATGCCCAGAACTGGGGCTTGAAATACTGAGTCTGTCAACTACGCGTAAGCATTTAACCTTCGTAAGTTTGAATGAGCTCATCCTGGGAGAGTGATAGAAACGTAAGAAAGTGAAGAATGAGATCCTTGGCCCCAGCATTTAAGGGGTGAGTAGTAGACAAAAAGGCTTTGAAGAAGAGAAGCAGCAGCCAAAGGGTTCAGTAAAATACAGAAGTCAAGTAGGGTAAGGATGGAAAAGTTACCTAGGGATTTGGCAGCCAGCAGGTCCTTGGTGACCTTGCCAGGAGTGGCTGTATTTGAGTGGTGGGTCGGAGCCCAGACTGCGGTGGGTGGGAGACTCTTCCATAACTCCCACTGAAGCACCTTCCCCTGCACTGGGCTCTTAACCTGTTGGTTCTTAGTCTCTCAGGACAGACTTCAGAGAGTCTGGGAGTCCTCAAGGAATCTAGACTAAATATGTACCGTGCTTTTCTTCTGTGGAGAACACAATGGTTTCATTAGCATTTTGGTGAGTTCTGTGATCCAATAAAAGTTCCATATGCCAGAGCTTAGGGAGTCAAGATCCACTATTTCTGCTACCTTCATTTCACTTAAATTATGAGTGTAATTTCTTTTGGTGGGCCATTTGAGGACCTAATCACAATTTGTAATATTTCATCTGTGGGAATATGCTGTCCATGTTCCTCAGTGACCTGCAGATGAACTCATGTTGTACAGTGTGGTAAACCTGGAACTTTTGCACTTTTCATCTCAATGGTTAGTAAACAAGTTAAAGCAGGGAACATACTGAAAATTGTCTTAATAGTCAAAGAGAGATGGTCTTATTAGAGTGACTGTAAGCCTGTGGGACATTTTCAGCACCCCATGCCCTTCACTTTGAATGTTACAGGCAAAGGCATCCTCACGCTCATTGTTGTTCATGTACCATCTCTATATATCAGTTTCCTCATTTCTAAGTCATTTAATAGTTGTCAGCTATTGTATAATAAAAAAAATGAGTTTCACGTCT